TAAATGATAAAGCTTTTAACTTCACATAAAAATATTATTATCTATATTAAGAAGAGGTAACTTAAATAAATAAGATGTTAGACATGTATTTTCAATATGTTACGTTTGATATTGTTGTAATATATATATATATATATATTTACTATTATGAAGATTTAAGTAATTTAATTTAAAGTTCTAAAATATTTTTAGAGTTAAAGAGTAGACAACTTTCTTTTTTTTGTCCAAGGTTTTTTGTACTTTTCTTTTTCGCAAACTTTAATATTGTCTAACTTGAAATAAAATCATATGATCCATTACTGAAAAATTTTGGGGACCTAAATCAAAGCTTTACTAGTCTCCTACTTGAGCCACCTGTCCACGCCTGACATTCTCAATCAAATTTTATAGAGTCTCAATTAAGATATGACAACAATCAATGAATGTGTTATTTAATTACCAAATGTGAATGAAGCTGGTTGAACAATACATTCATGGGACAACGATCTATAATAATTGTTGAACATTAATCAGGATGGCTCAATGGAACAGATGGCTTAAAACTAAAATATATTAAAAGACCCTGAAATTTCTTTCATAAAATTCATATAATATTGAGACCAAAAAAAAAGTCTACATGGCTTTGATTTAGTGGTGAGAGAGCAATGTATAATGTGTGGGATAGACACATGTCATATAGTATTGAACTCTCCCCTATACAAAAATATAGCATTAAGGGGTCGTTTGGCAGGGTGCACAAGAATAATGTTAAATATGAAGTATTAATGATGTTGGTATTAGTTATGCTTGTATTAATTATGCTGGCATTAGTTATGCTGACATATTTCTTATCCATTGTTTAGTTTGATGTATTAAAGCANATATATTGAGGAATGTTTTTACGAAAAAGATGTAAAACAATTATTTGATTTGTCTACCTATATTATAGTATAGAACTAAATATTTATTTATAAAAAAAATATGCTAAGTATTTATTTACTAGGGTTATAATTTTATTTGTCACTTTCTTGGATTATTTCAAACTTGCATTAATATAATAACATATTTTAATCAAACATAAATTTTAAAAAATAATATTGTCTTTAGTTAAGCTAATGCATGCACTAAAACCCATTGTATTGTTAATACCATGGTTTCCTATGCATTAGTTATGCATAGGATAATACTAAATATGGTGTATAACTAATGCATAGGTCCAAAAGGTGTACCAAACAAGGTATTATTAATAGGAAAAATTTCACATAAGAACAACTGAGCTTCCTGCTTTTCAATTTTATAGCTCATATTTCAATTTACAACCAACTAGTCCAAAAATAAAGGCTAAGATTCAACATCCAACTCCAATAGGTTCTAGAAATTGCTATTTAATTTTTAAAAAAGATTGCTCGAGCTTTTAAGTTAATTTTCGAATTAGTAACTGTGACTCAAATATTAGTTCAACAAACCAAATCCATTTGGATGGTGAAAATTAAATTTTTAACAAGCTTAAACATGTGGGTTTAAATTTCGAATTTGATTTTGTGAGAAATTTGGAGTGGGTATTATTTAAACTTGTTAGAAATAGTATAAGGAGGTTGTATATAAAATTTGAAGTCATTTAATGGAGATTTGGACTGGTTTTGAATAAGAATTGCAATTGAAAATCGTGAAAGAAGTTCGTCTACATACGCTTGTATAAAGGTGTATAAAAGTGTATAATAGTGTATAAGATGTGTTTATACACTTATATACACTATTATACAAGATTATACATAATTATATAAAAAACTGACTTAGTCTTCTTCCTTGAGTCTTTTCTAAAATTTAACTCAAATCTTGCTCAAATCTACTCCAAATCACTTCAAATTTAAATTTTGAACTTCTTTTGATATTTTGAATCAATTGGAACAACACGCAATCCAAACAATTAACAAAGTCAAAAAATCCTATTTTCGAAAGCAAAGTTTTGAATAGTCTTCAATGATGAATTTCTACTCTTCAATTTTCTTACATTGCAACCAGGTGACACAGGGTAAGAAGCAGCAATGGCAGACGGCCCTTTGAAGCATATGTAGAAGATGAGAGAAGAAGAGAGAGTGAAAGTAATGTTTGTAAGAACACATATTTAACTCTGTAGCTTTTAGAAGTATTGGTTGTAAGAACATAAATTTTGAATTTGCTAGTGCTTTCAAAATATGTACAATATGGGCTAGGTTGGGTACACTACTACAAAAAAGACCTTTAGCGGCAATAACATGGGTCATTTTTGTTATGGTGTGAAATCATGTGCATTTTCTTATAATTCTTTCTTATTAATACACAAAGCCAATGCATGCATTATTATATCTAATGCATCCTACCATACGACCCGTAAGTGAAAATAGTAAAGGGGTTGAGCATATTATTCATCGTGTTTGAAACCTTATGCCACTTGTCTCGGGAATTTCTTATTTAAAAAAGATGAGACACAAAAGAACTTGTTTTCTGATGTGTAGATCAATCAAATGTAACAAAAATGAATAGCTAATTTAGAGAATTTGAGCTGAAATTAATTTAGTGAGAGAATAGTTTTATCTTATTAACTCATTCAATATTGTCTACCAAATTTTAAAAAAAAATATTTAAATTTAATATACTTTATCAATAATTATATAAATATAAACGTATATATATAATGATATAGTAATCCTTTATATTTTTGGGACTTTAAATATTTGGGAGCTTCATTTGCCTAACCCTAGAGCCGCCCTCGTATAGATAACTAGAAAAAGAACAGAAAAGAAATTCAAGAAAGAGCAGTTTTGTCACTTGCAAATGGAAGGACAAAGAAAAACGGTCTCTCCAAAGCGGCCAACCAGTAAGCCAATGGTCTTTTAAACTTCAACATAAAACTTAGCAACCACTCCGAATTCCAATTTTTATCTTCTCTTTTTGTCTTTTGGTATTATGTTCGATAAATGCGTTTATTGAGAGATTTTTGGGAAAAACTCTTATGTTATACCTGGAATATCCCACAAATGTAAGTTAAAAGGAAAAAAAAAATTACGGCATCGAACTTTTTCACTGTCGTTTTTGCTGGTAGTTACTGCAAAACTGTAAGTCCAATCAAAAGGATCATAGCACCCTTTTTTGAGTCAGAAGATCAAACAAATTGCACGGCTAAAATTTAAGTTTATGGGTTCAGAATTTTAATCGTTTTACAGTAATAGATTCTAAATTAATAATGTATATATATTCAATAAATTTTTAAAACAAATATAGAGTTCGAACCAAAGATATTGGATTCCGCCGAACCCGTACCCGAGATTCTAGCTCCGCCCCTGAATTGCACAGTGCAATGCCAAAACTTGCCCTTAGTTGGATTTCTTCAAATCCTTTGCACCAAATTTCTTCATCCAAATTTCTCTAACAATATTTTTCTTTTCTTCTTTCTTTTAGTTTCAGTTTCGCATTCCGCAATTTTTAGCTTCACATCAATTAGTAATATAATCTTCTAATAACCATTGTCAATGCCAAAACCAAACAAAACAAAAAAGGAGAAAAAGATAAGAAATAGCCTTCTAACACCAGTCTTGAACAGAAATGAATTTCTTTTTCCCTTTTTTTTTCTTTTGGCGTCAGACGCCTAAAAACAACCAACAAAGGCAAAACGAAAAACAGCTATAAAAGGTGACAAAATGTCATTGCGTCCGTTGTGCTGGTTTTGCTTATTTTGCTCGCTGCGAAATGGCCGTAAAACTCCCACTAGTAGTTAATGCAGAGTGGAACACCTTATTTTTAACCATGGAGAGGTGTTCTCACATGATTGGATTTGTCTACTTTTATCTAGAGGTTTAAGATTCAAGCTCTAAGAATTAATCTTTTTTTTTTAAAGAAGATAGCCTTTTTTGAGGCCATTATTTAAATTCTGTCCCCGTTAACTTGGTGCTCTAAAATTTACTTACAACAAGCAGAATTCATCCAACATTTTAAAGGCAAAAATTAGCCCACTGGGTTAACGGGGATAGGGTCAAAGAGTGGCTTCAAGGAAGGCCATGCGGTACAAATGTTTCATGAATTATTACTTTATTAGTATAGAAAAAATGAGAAAGAAGAGTAGCTAATTTTTAAAAATCAAGAAAAGAGATGTCAACGGCCACTTTAAATCCTCCACGTGGAAGTTTCAAAACAATCAAGAACACTTCTACTTGTGACGTAACTTCTCGTATTAGTTCATTATGACTAGTTTTTTCAACCCCTAACCTATTATATACGGTCTCCTTGACTTCTTCCATCTGTTTAAAGCACACACGCTAAAAACGTCCCACTCAAAGTAACTATATAGGAATCAATCAGCAAGAGAAGAGACCATATGTCAAATGATCAGCAAAAGGTCGGATTAACTCGGACAATTAGCGAAGCCAGAATGGCAAGATATAGTAATTTTTTTTATAAGATTCCAACAAGAAGGCATTAAAAGAACTGAAGCCAAAAAAAAAAATCACATACAAATGGAGGCGTCAAGCAAGAAGAGAATATTTAATGCAATTATCAAACAATTGACCAATCAAGTAACTATAGGGAAGCATTTGGTGTTATCCACAATTTGGCACTTTCTAGTTCGTCCGTATTAAAAATACAGACTATGAACATTTCAGAAGGATCAGGTTTTCCAGTTGGTTGCCAACTTTAATTAGCCATCTCCAGTTAGTTGTTGCCTACCTTGCATGCATCGTGAAGATTCTTGATCAAGTCTCTTGTCTTGACAATAAAAATACCGTAAAAACTTGCCTCAGTACACCTTTGGAGAATTTTTGAATTACTTGTTTCTAATTCTAACGACTTAAAGTATATCAATCTAGCTTGAAAAGAACAATTTTCTTCAGGCATGAACCCGCCTCGCAGTAGGCAGCAGAGAACCAGAGTTGGTCATGGAAAACTGAAAAGAATATAAGCATGTGAAAAACAGCCGTAGTTGCACCATCATGGTTTCAAGGTACATACCGCGCAACGTCAACTAGAATATGGTGTTATCCAAAGTATCATGCAAATCTCAAACTATATAATTTATTACTCGAGCTAAATCATTGAACAATCGCACAACTAAAAGATGGTGTTATACAGAGTAGCAGATTGAACTCAAAACTACGTATTGGTGAGTCCCATAATCAGATCATCTTACAAACCTGTAAAATTCACATGTTTGCCAACTAAAAGTATGACATAACTACAACTAGCAATAGCTCAATTACATCCTAAGTATCAGCTTCAGAAGTGCGGAGAAGGGGAGCATTGATACTTTCACTATTTCCAGAATATCGGGCACGCATTAGTGCTGGATCTTGATAAGCTGTGGCTAATCTATCATGAAAACTTGCCATTGTAGGATCATTTTGCTCCTCTCTATCCTTTTTTAGCAAGCTCTGTAGTGTTTGTGGAAAGGCAGAAAATGAATCACTATACACGTTAGGAAAGGACAACACACGTAAGGAGCCAATAGAACTTTAAGAACTGAGAAGACTGCATTAAGAATCAATCGATCACTATGGTTAAGAATCAATCACTTATCAGATTAAGTGCCAGTACTGTTTTTTTAAAATCACTATACATTAGCAAAACACAACTAGTTATCACAAAGTAACCGAATAAGTCAATTGCTAAATTGAAAAGTTTGTCAAGTCCACTCATTTCTCTTAGGGCACAAATAGGACGAACATATTAACAATGGCTAACAGAAAAGAAATAACTTCTGCACTAGTTGCTTACTTAATAACTAAAAGGATTTAGGGGAAAAACCTTAAAAAAACAAGAGCTAGATAACAAGTACAGAACTACGCAGATGTACCTCGACAGAATAAGACTTGAACATAGGTAGGAAACGTCTCCGGCAATAGCTGTTGAACACAAGAGTAAGGATTGGAAGGGGAACTATTAAGCTTGAAGCAAGAGGAAGTTTCTTTAGCCCAAATATTCCAATGGCTATAACATGCATCAGTATCAAGGAGAAGATCATCGAATCGTGCACTATAGGCCACAACTTTCCACCAGTCTCATACTTGGGTGCATAAACATTAAGCAGCTGCTTGGAAAAATAATAGAACATAATCAATGCCAAAGCAAGGCCAATAGAAATTTTGGTACTTCACAAAGATCTCTCCAACAGCCAAAATAAAACAAGTAATAGTAATTTTCAGGCAGTCAACTTGGACAAAACTCTTAAAACAAAGAACTCTGAGGTCCTAAAAAGTCAAGCAACCTGCTCCTCTCTTTAATACATACTAAGTGACTCCTAATCATGACTTGCCCTGACATACAGCACACTAACAATAGGTTTTACGGAGTTTTTCAGTGACCATATTGATGTAGTCGCACCTAATAGAAATAAATATATGTGTCCTCTCTCTAACAACATCTTTTTGATGAGGTGGTCACATAATTTAACATGGTACCAAAGCAGAGCATGTAGAAGTCATGACTTCAAGTCTCACCGCCTTCAGTGGATTTAAATTGAAAAGAAGGAAATAACTAGCACTGAACTTAAAAAAGCACAAAATAAGGTGTAAGGTGATCCAAGAGAACATAAAGCAACTGAAAACAATATGCTTCAACCTGGCATCATTTCAAAAGACAGAAGATCAAACCTATAGGACTAAAGGAATGATATAAAAAAAGAGAGGGAATTTATTCATATTAAATAAGNGAAAATATTCATATTAAATAAATATGAAGTAGAAGAACCCAGATTCCAAATGAACAAATTCAAATTTGAAAAGGATCTTCCTTATTCTTGAAGAATGAGGGGCAAAGGGATTGATCAAGAAAGATCTTTTGTTCTTTTATATAAGATCGAGATTGGATTCGCATATGTTTGGTAAAGAGAATAATCTTATCCTTTGAGAATAATAAAAAATGGACAGTGTTCAATTGGAACATGAAAATGTGACTAAATTGGTCCTGACCTAGTAGGAAAACTAATCCATCAACTCTGAGAATTGACATAAACATGGCATGTTACAAGAGGAATATTTGGTAAATAATTTGAAGATCTCAACATTCCATTTTCTCTTTTTAATACTTCCTAGTTCCCAGAATATAGAATTCATCATTATGTACCCAAAGAATCAGAAGAAAACAACCAACCTGGTTCCGGTAGATGAGATATCCCAGACAGTAGTAAACCAAGAGGAATGGCAGAATTAGGGGAGCGAGGAAGAAGTATGTTATACCAAGGAGGCCAAACAAAAGAATCCTGGGAATCTCACTGTGGTAAGGAACTGAAGGGACCTCAAACTCATCATCAAATTTCCTACAAATATTTCTCTTTATAAAATTGAAAATGAGGGTCGTCAGACGAAAAAGTTCTGAAGAAGTGCTGGTCCATCCAGATGTAACCACATATGCAATAAAGAAAGTTGCCTGCAAGAACAATAGGAAATCAATCTTCTCTAGTAGTAACTGCTGATTATTCAATGAGTATATATCATTCAAACATTGAACATTTGTCATCTTTCCCATTAGAGTCATTCAGCATAACAAATAGTACTAAAAGAAGCATGTCAGATCCATAATACACATATGAGGTGTCAGAATTTTCTGCCTTCCAATTAGCATTCTACTACATTTCTTTCCTGTTTTGTCTGAATTGCAAGGACTTGCAGCTTATCCTCTCAACCAGGGCATAGGTTTGACTGGCACACTTGGTTTCTATCTTCTCTTTGTTAAACAGTTCTTATCTTCTCTTCACCCAACTCTTTTTGTAGCTTAAAAATAGTGGTATCTTATTATGGTTGCTTGTCAAAGTAGCTTGTTTGTCCCAAAAGGCTCCTTCCATTTTTCACTCAAAAGTTGATAGCAATTTAGCCAAAACCAATAGATTGAGCTACCCTTGATATTGTACAAAATGTCGGAACACATTTTAAGGATCAACTTCTTCTGCTCCAATAAGACGATTGACATAATAACTGAAACACTCACCTGTCCAGGAACTGCTACAGCTAATACAGCAGGTATTTTCTTGGGCTCAAGAAAAATTTCAGCACGATAGAGAGCTGTTCCGGAGAGCACATTTGCAAAGAAAATGTTCCATATAGTAAACCACAGAACTTTGATGCATGCACTTTTCTCTATCTGGCTCAAAGCAATGTACCCTTGTATGGATGAGAGCATAATCATTATGGATGGAACAAGATATAGAAACAGCTGAAGTACAAGACTAGGAAGATATCCGGTAATCACTTGGCTAACAAATGCTCTGCAAGGGACATTAACTTATTTTACCACCACGCAAAGACATCAATAAGTATAGTAACATGCTCGTTAAGCAGAAAATTTCCGAAGTATTCAGTTTTACCACTTACATTCTAAGTAAACCTTTCAAAAAAGGAAACCAGGTTTCCAACTGCTCAAGATGTGTAAGCCCTTGGACGATTAAAACGGGTATAAGAAATAACACTGTAATGAGGACACATGCTACAATGACAACCAAGTTGCTAATCCATCTCTTTAGAAATGATGCTGAAAAGAAAGGCCAATACACATCCTCTGGATCAGGAGCTGGCTCACTGACCCATTGTGTGGGATTTACACCTTGCTGCATGTGTATAGCTGCAGCTGCAGCAAAACGTGTCCTGAAAGATACAAAGGCAGCTCCTACCTCCTGTTATATAAGATATGCATAATTAATTGAAGACAAATTGATCCCCAAAAAAAAAAAAATTGAAGGCAACCAGACAGTTGTGAAGCCTTACTTAAAAATAATAGGATGTAGATGAGCATGAAATATAACATTGTTACCCCACTTGTGGGATTATACTGGGTCGTTGTTGTTGTTGTTGTTGTTTTAGAGACCAACAAATTGGAAACAACTAATTTTCTTCTATCATTTACCTAAGGCTCTTTGTTACAACATATATGTGAAGTAAGCAATAACATGCGGGTGGTGGAACTGCTTCACATGCTCCTTTTGGAACTTCTGTCACATTTTGAATTCGAAATTCTTCAGCAGGTGTTGTTGGTTCCAAATGCTCTCAGGATTTAGCAAATTTATCGGCTGGACGAATCACGCAGTTTAATTACATAACTTGGTTAAGCTTGCTTCTAAAATGCATCTATGACCAGCTGCACTTAAATTCATACTGTTGAATGTATTGATAATTCTATACACATAAAGAAGAGTAGACCCTCATGTAGACAAAAACTAAGTACTAAAAGAAGAGTGCTAGCCATGTCCAGATACAAATTCCGTATTGTGAAACATACATCTTGCGTACAGAATAAGAATATGTAAATCCTGAAGATTACCTTTCCCAGAGTTGAAGATTGTTCGGCCCTTACATTTTCTTCTATATCTTCTAGCTTCTTTTCATAGTGATCAAGTAGATCAACTCTGTGTCCAAAAAGACCCATGAAACCAGCACGCCTGGACCTTTCTTGATTAGGGTTTGCTGATTTCAATCGCACGAGCCTTCTTAACTTATCAGCATTTTTCTGCACGAAAGATTGGAGAGCCCGCCACAGCAAACAACAAATTGGTCAATATGTTCTGGCTTCCAAATTATAGTTCCGTTTGCACTACTATTGTGGAAGACTCGGCTTCACAGCAAACTCATATAAGATAATGACAGATCAAAACGTCATAAAGTTTAAAAGTATTGTTCCTGTAATCACTTCATTTTCAATATTGCATTCTACATTCACGTCATTTCTTTTCTTGCATGTTGAAATTTTTTTTGTCCAGTGCAATATCAAATAATGCATGATAATATGGACCCGTGAAGTACAACAGAATGTGGAGTGCACATAAAGATATTACCTAAATGGGACGAAATTTATTTTGAGGAACATAGGGCTTAATAATAGATGAATGCATGTCATTCACCAATGTGTTTCCGCTGTATCATGAATTGCATTCTACCATGCTTTATCAGATAAAGGTATAGTCAAGAAACTTCAGCTACCTTATAAATAATAAATAAATAAAAAAAGCAACTTCAGCAATCGAAAAAAGAGCATTGGCTGGGCAAGAATAAGAGGGTACAAGCACACACCAACCTCTGTTTTAACAGGCAACAATAAGAGGGTACAAGCACACACAACTGTTGTTTAACGTAAGGGAATAATAAAAGAAATATGCCAACTCAAAAGGGAAAATATCACTAGCAAGTGATGACAAACGGTAAATGAGAAACTACACTATCATAACTGAAGTTACTGAATTGAAGTTAGAGTGGCTATCA